ACAAAGACGCTGTAAAGGCCAAAGACAGTGAGATTTATCCCTGAAAAAGCCTCTGTGAATTCACAGGATTTTGATTTGACAGATCACAGGTTGTTGTTCCAATATGAGGAGGTTTTTATCAGGTGGTGTTTTTGTGGTGGCACATTTGTGAAATAAAGAATCAATTGATGTGTTTCTGCTTGAAAGGCGTTTGAATCTGAGAGATGGATCCATTTCCCTCAGCTGGAGGCTCTCAGATAACTCACCCGTCAGGGTCCTGAATCACTGAGTTCTGCGGGCCGCTTCAGGCTGGAGCCGGCTCTCTGTCAGCGGCTGCCACCCTCCATCACCCGCTACGGCTCCCTGTCACTCCCCACCCCCCCCCACCCCCACCCCCTCCACCAGTCCGTCTCCCAAATGGGAAGCAACAGGCTTTATGGAGCCCACATAAACCAGGCTGCCTCCAGAGGGCTCCGGGCAGGCAGGTGCACACCCCCCATGAATCTGCGTGACACCTGAGCGAGGGCCCTCTCACAGATGCCTCGTTTGCTCCGCACCGACAGCAGTAAAAGCAGAAGAAGCTGTGCGTCAGCTCCAGAAACAGATCTGGGGGAGACGGTGCTCCGGGCCAGCTCTGGGCAGGACACACTAACTTTTTCTGACAGGAAGCTGCAGTTTAAAATAGGACTGTCTCGCTGGACCGAGAGGAGGAAAGGACACGATTCACCACAAATCCAAAATGCTCGGAATCTAAACAATCAACCAACCGATCAATCAATCAATCAATCAATCAATCAATCAGCAAATCAATCAATCAATCAATCAGCAAATCAATCAACTAACCAACCAATCAATTGGCAAATCAATCAATCAATCAATCAATAAACTAACCAATCAATCAATCTTTTAAACCAACCAACCAACCAGCAAATCAATCAACTAACTAACTAAACAAACAAACAAACAAACAACCAATCAATCAATCAATCGATCAACCAACCACACTCTGAGATCTTTGTCCTCCCAGCAGCTGGGAAATTAGTGAACAGTAAAAAGTTACAAAAATATGGATTAATATGGATTAAAAAGGCAAAACACTCAAACATTTTCTATTCACTCAAACCTGAGTAGAAGTAGTCAGTTAACTCAGCATCAGGAACGGATAATTTTAATCGGACTTTAAAAAACTGGCGCTGGAGTCTGGATCAACAGGCTTTTTTTTCGAATATCAGTGGCCGATTTGATCCAGATATCGAATCTGGACCAGCCTAGTCTGATTATCTTTATTTAACCTCCGGCAACAGCACAAACAGCCCAGACCTGGTGGTCAAAGGGAAAGTCTGAGTAACTAGGAACTCCACCATCTGGAGCAGGGGTCACCAACACGGTGCCCGCGGGCACCAGGTTGCCCGCACGGACCACCCGAGGCGCCCGCAGGCCTGTTCTAAAAATAGCACAACTCAATAGTGAGCAGCGTCTAAAATTTAATTTTGTTCCGTTGCTAATCTTTTTTAATCACACTTGCATTCATATAGATTTGATTTAAAATGTCAATATCTTAAAAATATGTTCATTATATATTAAATTTAAGTTTTCTCTAGTTCAAAGGTCAGTATTGTTCACGTGACAAAACAAAACCAGTGTCAGTGGAGAGTAAGCTAGCGGGCGCAGCGGAGATGGGAGCAGTTTCTTACCCCAAAAACATGGGAGAAAAACGAAAGAAAATTTATCACTTTCACAACGAATGGGAGGAGGAGTTCTTTTTTACGACTGTAAAAGAAACCTGCGTGTGTCTGATTTGCGGGCAACTGTGGCGACGGCAAAGCGGCACAATGTTCGTGTCACAAAAGCTAGCATGCTAACTACCCACCGGAAACGGGCAGAAAAATCACATCTGAAATATGCACTCACTCACAGTTGCAGTGTCAAGTTACACCAGATTACAATACACTGGTGAACAGCATGCAATGCCAATCTGTTAAAGATTTGGTCATGAGATTTCAGATTTCTTTTTAATATGTGAGTTGATTTTTCTTTAACCTTAGATAATTGATAACTTTTTGAAACATGGTGCAACATAGTTCATGATTTGTTAAAAGGTTTTGTCAGTGGCTAGTGAAATGAGTGAAAATGAAAACTCCTATGTAAATGTAGTGATGTACAGTAAGTGATCATTTAAAAAGTTAACAGTTGCTGAGATAAACAGAGATAAAGTGGTGGATATTGATATGTTTCCCATTTTGTTGTCACTGTTGTCACAAATGAGTATCATTAATGATTATTAATAAAGTATAGCTAAAAGTATATTGAGGAAATGTATTATTTCAGAAGAGTGTATCAAATTGGTAGCCCTTCGTGTGACTCAGTACCCCTGAAGTAGCCCTCCGTTTCAAAAAGGTTGGTGACCCCTGATCTGGAGTAACGATGTCCTTCCTCACTACCACTTCAAACGGTCCAACAGATAGCTGAGGATCCTCAGAGTAACAGGGGACATTTCTGATACTGGAGCAGTCAGAATATAAAGAACCGGTCCGGGCTCAGAACCTGGAACCCAGAATATGTCAGAAAACCAGGACCCTTTAATCCCACTGATCCCCATCAGATCTGTAGTCAGACCATGTGACCCCCCGTCTCAGTCACCAGCTCAGTGTGTGAACACCGGCTGAGGGCTTTTCACACCTTATCAAGCTGTGTCCATGTGTCAGCTCCAGAGGGCTCTGAGAGGACCCCCCCCCCCTCTGGAGCCTGGATTCACTCCTGGATTATTTCATCCTATTTAGTGTTTGTCCCTGAATAAACAGCTCAGTGTCTCTTTACCAACCAGTGTGTGTTATTCAGACTCCCCTAACTCAGCTG